TTCACTCTGGAGCTCACAAAATGGCCATTTCTATAATGCATTCCATGTTCCCGGATAGAGAAGATTGCCAGCACAGTAAATATCCATCTAAGCCTTCTTTCTCATCAACAAAACATGTCGTTTGTAGTACCCACACATCAACAGAACTTCCTCAAGCCTGCCACTTTTCCTTTTTCATAATTATATTTTTATAATCCTCCTTTACACACGAGAGCTCAATTCACTTCCTCCTACAATGCATTAGCATCCTCTTCAAACCCATTAGTGGTATCGCGTGCTGCACAGCATCGTCTCCTCTTCAAAATATTTTATTGTTAAGTTACTGTACTGCAAGCCGGGAGTCTATGAATATTTAAGCAAGCCATTGTATGTTTATGTACACTGTGCCAAGCCCAAAAATAAAGCTATTCACCCTAATATTTTGGCAGTGCTGTATTAAAAGCTGCTGTATCCTTTAAGAGATATGTTTGTTCAACCTCCAGTTGACTGCTATAAATAAGTAAAAGAATTCATTTTTTAAAATTCTTGGTGATTTAATCCATACCTGTTCTTCAATCCATAAATAAAATATCAGTGTTAATTAGTAGCAATAAAACTGATTCTAAGAATCCCAAAAGCCTGGGAAGCTCCTTTGGCTTAGTAACTAATTCCAGTTTTGTGGACTCTGTTTCACTTTTAATGTTTGAGATCAATTAGTCATGTTTTGATAGTCATGGTGATAGCTCCACTATTGTTTGCAATTCTCTAGGTTATATTTCTCGATTTTGGTAAATGGTTAGACATCAATAACCTAGTAATTTCATCCAAAATAAAATTAATTTTGTGATTGGATGCACTGCATAGTTGAAATGATGTATAGTAGAAGAAAGTCAAATGCCCATCAACAGATAAAGGAATATACTAATATGGTTTATTCATACAATAGAATATTTTTTTCAGAAATAAAAAGGAACAAACCTAATACATATTGCAACATGGATAAAGCTTGAAACCACTGCTCTAAATGAAAGCTCAAGCCACCAAAAAGTACATATATTGTGATGTTATTTATGTAAGTATATGAAGTAGATAAACCTATGCAGAATAGAAAATAGATATATGGTTGTTTGTGGGGTGGATGGTGGGCATAGCGATAGGAGTTAGGAAGTAATAATTAAAAGGTACAGATCTTCCATGTGTAGTGATGAGAATGTTCTACAGTGGACTACAGGGATTGCCACCCACATCTGTAACTATACTCAAACCATTAAATTAAATTAAACTATACTTAAACCATTAAATTCACCCCCTTTTAAAGGGGGTGAAATGTATTGTGCATTAGTTACTTCTCAATAAACCTTTTTTAAAAAAGTTTATAATCATGAACATCATTTCTCTTCCAAAAAGGCCTCAAGAACTAGTGAATCACCTTGGAAAGTCACTTGGATTACCAAGATGTGAATGTACAGAAAGAAGAGTTAGAGGAGACCCATTGCAGAACCACTTAGAAGGGTTTTTTTTTTTTTTAAACTAAATACATCTCTTTTCGCATCAAGTATATATGCAGGCCCTACTTGTATGTCAGGAACCACTGCTCCACCTGGGAGCTGTGGGAGGAATCATCTATCTGAAATACAGGGTTGCAAACCTCGGCACTAAGTGATTTCTGGTCAGTGGGCACTGATAGCAATAAACAAGTGCCCTGGTGAGCACTTCCGATCTATTTAGGGAGACATAGCTAATACCATGTTTCCCATTTCACAAAGATAACTAGCACCATTTTTCTCTATGGCAAAGTTTGACTTTATTCCAATGATTACAATGATGATTACAATAATGAGAGAGAAAATAATTCTTTAAACCAGATAAAACTGGCAGTTTTTGTTTCATGCCATGTCAGACCTGCAGTGAAATTTCCAGAGGAAAAAGGGATGAAGAGTTAAAATCATTGTGTAAAGATTAACGACCAAATGCAAGCTTTCCAGAACATCATGTATGGTGTTTCCTTCCCTGTAAGGAATTTTCATGTATGGCTGACATTCTTCTTCCTGAAAACCACCCCGTTGTTCCTTCGACTTTGTATCTAGGAACTGATTGTTCTCCTCAATTGATTTCGTATCCTACATAGTACTTAGTATGTGCCAGTCACTGTTCTAAGCAAGTTTGTTGTTTAAAGTCTATTGGCTCTTTGGAGATGGTCAGATCAGAGAAGCAATCTAAGATGATTGCAGGTGAATGTTCTTTTACTTCTCCCAAATTTAACCCACAAGACGTGCCTGTTGGTCTCACCAACGTCTGATACTGCAGATTCTCTGCATCGCAGTCACTTCTTAGTGCAGGACAAGGTGGCCTTTGCAGTGCTCCATGTCTCTGGTATGCGCTGGCTGCCCACAGGCCCTCCTCTCTGGTGGAGAACATGTGCCACTTTCAGAATTATCTCCCAGAAGTCTTTCTTATTATGCTGAAGAATCCAATGTAACAGGTTTTTCTTACTGAGTTTGGGTAGGAAAGGAGAATGCACAGAACATCAACCAGTCTTCCCCTCAAATACTAATTCTCTCTCACTCCTTTTCCCCTCCCCTCTCTCCTTTCTGAACACTTTTATTTCTTTATTTACAGGAGGGAACTAAAAGTTTTATGAATTTTTGCCATCTGCTTTTAAAATCTAGACTCAGTACCACCTCATTTTGGAATCTGGTGTCTGACGTCCCCTTTTATGTATAGATGTATGTATGAATGTACCTCCTGTTATTTCTGCTTCCTGCATAGAATGACTTTCCTGCTGATGGTAAGAGCCAGGACTGTTGTATTTACCACAGTGTAACAAATGCTGCAATGTATACACAGCACAAATTATAGGACACAACAAATAACTTGTATTCATACATTTGCAGAATGAATGCATGAACACATAAACTTTTTACTTATTCATGAAAACCTATGAGATAGTTCAGCTACCACCCAAAGCTACATGGCTCTGATCATAAAGCTGTCCAGTGCCAATTTTTCTACAGAAATATTTTCCCATATTTGAATCTTTCCTGTAAATGCATTAGTTAAGTGATAAATATTATTTCCAGAGTTTTACACAGTTCTGCCAAAATGTCAATCATACCCTGACACAAACAGGCACTTTTTAAAATAAAGCAATTTACAATACAATTGTATACTTAGTGACATGAGATCTCAGTAAGTTGTACAAAAATATCTGCCCTCTGGGGCTAGGGATTTAGCTCGGCGGCATAAGCACTTGCCTTGCAAGCGCACAGTCATGAGTTCGATCCCTGGTACTGATTTAAAAAAAAAAAATCTGGCCTCTCTGCTAATGAAATGAAGTTAAATATAATTGACAGTTATGAGATTTCATTGTAATACACATGATGTTATTATAATAGACCTGGTTACTGCAAATTCTGTGGTCCACTGTTTAAAGTATATTAATTGATCTCCCTGGAATCAACTTATTTTGAAATTCTAATGGGGAGCTTTGATATGAATGTATTATACATATCACAATGGGTCTTTTTCAAACCCAGTGCATATGATCAGTGGAATAAAAACTTTACAAAAGTTGTTGCCATGTATAGTCAGCTTGTAACAGATATTGTAGCAATAAAAATTACAATTTGAAACAAATAAGAATTATCTTCTCATTAGACTATTCATGGTACCTTTCCTGGAGTTATAATCCCAAATAAAATAAAGGAAAGTTCACCTTCCAGAGAATCACCAAAAAAGCAAAAACAAACAAAAATTTAATTTTTAAAATTTAGGTTTTGTTGATGTGATTTTAAGAAAGAGAACACCAACAATTTTTTCCCACTTGCAGATTTTTTCAGCAGCACCCTAACCATACTATTAAAGGAAAATCCATGTGAGATTTTATAAGTCCTAAAATAGCATCTTCAAACTTTGTATCAAGTTAAGAAAATATATTTCTGGCCTGAAATTACTCAGATTAGGCTTTATTTGAAGTGCATATGATTTGAATAATAAAGTAATCTAGATGTTTTCATAAACTTACTTTTCCAGCCATGTCTTTGTTGGTAGCCAACGTTGGGTACAGAACCAGAATGGGGAAAAACACACAGCGGTGGTTGAGAACAAAAAAAGGAACATCCCTAGGGTACAGTGTGGGGGTAAATAGAAGGGTAGAATTTGTAAAACGTGTCTACAAAATGGTGAAATGCTTCGCCCACTCATCAAAGTTCACCTCACTCTCCTCATGCTCTAACCTTTCAAGTGTAACTTACCCACTCCCTTGATAAAAATGGACACATATCTTCATATGCATGCTATTCTTTTTCCTTCAGTGCTGGGGATTGAACCCTGAGCCTTCACTACATCATCAGCTCTTTTGCGGGAGGGATGGGTTGATCGCTAGGTTACCTAAGTCCGGATCTAATTTAAAACACTTCTGCCTCAGACTGTTATAGCACTGGAATTATAGGTATGCACCACCACATGAGCCTATGTTTTCAAACAAGATTCAATTAACCAGACACATATACATCCAGCTAAACTATTACGTAAGTCAGGGTCTTTCGAACCTGATTTAAACTGTGTAACTATTTTCTAGCCCATCCAGGTACTAGCAGAAGTGTGACACTTGCAATGATTGTTTTTTCATGATGAGGGTCACAGGCCTTCTCTCTTCCTCCTCCAAACTGCTACCAGTAAACCGTGTGTGTAAATATGAATGTTAGAACTTCAGCAGCAGATTAGACCCAGGGATAACTGAAAAGTGAGCTGACAGAGAAAAAAGACTGATAAAGCTATTATCCTCTCTCTGAACCATGTATCTCCAGGATTGTTTAGAAGACAGACAACTGCATCTTTGCCTTTATTAAGCCCCTGCACCATGGAGTGTAGTAAAGTCAATTCCTAACTTATAAAGGCAGCATTAGGAGGTAACTCCATAATCAATATTCCCCAAAGCTTATGTCTAAAATCCAGTCACCTACTGGATAGCTCTATATGGATATAAAAACAAATCAACTTAAAGGCTCAGATAGAACTCATTTTTCTTTCCTTTTTTTTTTTTTTTTTTTTTTACTGGTACCAGGGATCAAACTCATGACCTCATTTTTCTTTCCAAAAGTGCTTTTTTTTGTATATTTCCCACAACAATTTAAGCGACCATCCCTTATTTATTTGCCAAAAGAACAAATTTGAGACATCTTTTCTTCTTCCATTCACTCATATCGTCATCTGCCTATCACCAGCATGTCTGTCCTCCAAGGAGTCCGGGGTCTTCCTGCCAGCAGTCACTGCGGATTTCTCTCCAACTCCTGTGCCGTCATGCTGGCCTTGACCCCACCACCTCTTACCTCAGTAACAGCTTCTTCACTGTCATGGCTGCCTCAGCTCTCAACTCTGCTAACTCCTTCTTGTAATTCTACATGAACATCTGAAAAGACTTGCTGATCCTACTAAGGAGGTTGACTTTATTCCATGCTGAATGGTAGCCATGATGATTTGAAGCAGGAAATTAATGCTATCAGATGTACATGTAGGAACTGACATTGCTATAAGCAGTTTATTTGTGTCCTGATTAGTCACAGAAACACCCAGTGAGGAAGAATTGTTACTATTTAAAATGTAAAAACAAACAAAAGCAGAAACAAGCAGAGTATCATACATAGCCAGGAAAGCAGGAAAGATGCTCCACTTGGGTACTATTAATCTTGAAACTGTTACTTTAGCATGTTCCTAAGGAGACTTGGTTTGCTTTCTTTTCTTATCCTTTCTATTGCCCAAAGTTTGATAAGACTCCAAAATAGATGTTACTTCGCAGCATAGAACAAGAAGGTCAAAAGAAACTTTTGCTTGTATCTGCAAAGAAAAAATACAGAAATTTCCCAAAATGGAAGTTGATTAGAAGAAATGCCCTGAGAGGTCTGTAAAATACAAATTCCTGGTTCTAACCAAGACCTACTGAATCAGCATCGAAACATTAGAGGAGTACATGTGAAAATTCTGAGAATTTTAAATATGCATGGCTATTTCAACTCAATACAGAAATTCCTCTACCTATCTAGTTTAATAAACCTCCGTAAATGTGAAATGAAGTACACTGGTATTGCTCATTGTTGGTGAACCTGTATCTCAACCAACTGTCTGGCAAAATTACCAAAAGTTACGTAATTTTACAGTTTTATACAAAAGTTTTATCTCTGCTGTGCTGACTTAGGCAATACTTGCAGCAGTAACCCCTGTCAAAATATTTTCTGCAATATTCTGCTAGTTACTTTTGTATTTTGGGAACTGATGTTTCTAAATCGAGTCTGTGGAACTCATTTCAAAGAGCTGTGCATGCTCCTTTCTTTAGTCCCAGTTGTCCTAGTCTTTTAAAAATGATAATTTAATAATGCTATCTTATGTGAGCCATAATTCAAATTCACTTGAAGTATGTCCTTTCATGAAAATTGTTTTATCCCTATTTTATTTTTAAGCACATTTCTTCATGTAGATTCACTGAAGAATGTACAAATAAAACCAAAGCATAATGAAGAAGGAAGAGATATGTATGAATGAGGAGGAACATAAGTTGCTCATCTAATTGTTGATTTCCTTTAGCATTTATGACATAAGTTTAATTTTTTAAGAAGTGTATCACAAACAAAGTGAGGCCAGTGGAAGCATTACAACATAGATCTGATTCTTAATCTGGAACCCGCCTGGTTTATCACCTGGTTTTCAGTGCAGGGCAATTCACAAGAGACACACATCTGGTCCTTTTATACATTCAAAAGATTGTATCTGACATCAAGGACCCAAAGCTGGAGAATGAGTTTCTCAAGCTGGCAGACTTTGGATGGATTCCTATTCTTGTGAAAACTCAGTTTCTTCATTTTAATGTATTCCACACCTCATAGTCTCACTATTCCCATAGAATCTAATGAACTGGCACATGCAGGGTTTAACACAGTGCCTAAAAGTACCATTATTAGTCAAATGACATCCTTAACATAATTAACAGAGCAGCCAGGGCAGGAAAGATTCTTGGTATAATGATCTAGTCCAGAACAATGGAAGTTACTCTATTTTCTGAAATCTCCTTTGCAGTGAATTTAAATATCTCTGTTTTTTTTATAACTCTCAGAATTTTATGAAATAGTAGTTAATGCTCTGCATTTTGAACTAATCGGAAGTAGGATGTCTACAAATGTAATTCAAATTAATGTTACTGTTGCCACTTTCATAGAGATGGAATAAAAAGTTAGAATGTTACCAAAGACACAGCTGGATTCCTGTCAATGCTAATAATGCTTTAACTTCGTCAGTTATTAGTGCAATTTAAAATCCTTTCAGGGTTTCCTCACAAACCACACCTCCTCCTCAGTAATTCTTCCTGATTACTCCAGAGCATGCCTTAGCCTGCTGACTCCATCAGCTCCTCAGGCTAAAAGGGACAAATAAGGCCAGTAACCTTGACCCTGCTTTCTGTCACATGCCAAGTATTCCATCGTGATGCAGAGCTGCTGTGCCCGCCAAAGAAGAACCATGAAGCTTACTTTAAGAAATAATTCCCAGGCTTCCTGATATAACACCTCCCCCAGTGGGTCTCCAATTATCACAAAGCAAATTAAGCTCTCATTTAGTTTTTTAAATCCATCACAGAATGCTTTAAAATACATGGAGTATTGTTATATAAGAGAGCCACATTGGGAGAGACAGTGAATAGTGTGCCATACAAATTTTGAGGAAGTCAGAATTTCTAAAAAGTTAAAAACCAAACCCCAAAACAATTCAGCACCAAATATAGGTCATTAAAATTATAACAGACTTTCTTTGTACTAAATTTCGTATCTCCTTTAAGAACGTCACATCTTGTCCATTGTGGCAGATCAGAGGAGAAGTTTGAAGGTGTATATAGCATTAAATATGAAATGATTTCACTTTGAATAAAAAAACTTTTTGATTCAAAAGAATTCAACAATAGCTCTTCAATTATGACTGAATTTATTAACGCCATCAAAGTCATGGTACAAGACTGAAGTTTTTATCACTACATAGTAAAATGCATTTAAAGCAACAGTAGGAAAGCAGGGATGATTAAAGTGTTTCAGTTCCCTTTAGGAATGCCTAGATGTAGGTCTGTATGTTCCAGTGGCCAAAAAGAGGTTAATGCCAACTCTAGATTAACTCAAAGGGCGCATTTGAGGTTACAATGATTTTGATAGTATGGACATCCCCCCACCTCACCATTTTCCAAAACCTTGAGAAAGCTTTCTGATTCTTTCCATATATGCCATTTTTACAAAGGAGTAGAGCCTTTGAAAGAAAAACATTTTTGGCTCCGTTAAAACTGGTGTATTCTTCTAGCCCCGTATTCAGTGTTCAGGACTGGACAGGCAATTACATGCAAATTTGTTGGGAGGTAGGAGGTTCATTTACTACATTCAACCTCATAAAGGAAGATCAATAGAAGTGCAAAACCTAATCCTAGATGAAAGCACCATGATCAGGTAATGGTTATAGAGTTAAGGCCCTCAGAAGAATGTTAGGAATCAAAAGCCCATGCCAGAGAAAAGCATTATGCATAGTGCTTTTTTGAACCATATGGGAAAGACAAGAGACAAAGTGAACCAAGGGGTTAGAACACAAGAAGGTAGACATGCAGTTCAACACAAATTGTTAGGGTTTTTCAAAAGACATGAATGAGGATTGGACCAATTAAAAATGGCTGCTTTGAAAACCTTTTGTTGGCTATTTAAAGAATAGTGGTGTACAAACCGTTGCTCCAACTTAAACCATTCAAGCCATGCTTACATTTAACTCTCGAGTAAAAGAGGAACTCCTTACTGCTAATTTTCCCATCTTTTAGTTTTTGTGGGACTTTTTTCTCCCTGATATTTGCCGCTACACAAGGCCACATACATTGTTGACATTTGATAAAAACAGTTGAAAATTTCATAATGAAAATTCACAAAATATATGCTTAGAATTATTGATTATATGGAAGAAAGAGAATGGGAAAGTACAGGGTGGGAATGAATTCATGTTGTAAAAGTCTGATGTTCTGACCGGTTAAGCAATTTACATATCCCCACAGGGTATGAATGGATATGCAGCAGGAATCACAAGGGGAAAATAAAAGTCCATAAAACATAATTAGTCTTCATCAGTATGGACTATCAGTATCTTCAGAAAATATGATGCGGATGCTTGACCTGGTGACCAGTAGATTTTCAAAGGATCCTTGGACGGTCTCCAAAGTTTGCATATATCTACTACAATTGCATGCAGATTTTATATATGTGTGTCTTGTTGCCATTAGCTGGAGAAGAAAATATCTTTAATAAGATTTCTAAAGAGTTTTGTTGTCTTCTTGAAACAGGGAAAGAAATCTAGAACTCCTAATACATAAGAAAATGGATCAACAATTGTTATCCTGATTAATCTAGATTCTCTAAGAAAAAGATGACAGAAACAAGAGCAAGCATGCAAGGATTTTATTAGAGGAAGTGCCTGTGAAAGAAAGTAGAGGAAGAATTAGAGAAGGCAGGAGAGCTGTCATGAGATGCAAGTCTGAACCTAAGTGGAAAGAGGGATGGAAGCAATACAAGATCTCATAATATTTTGATAATAATATAATATATAGTACAATATAGAATATATAATATAATGTATATCAGGTATTTTGGCTAGAAGACCTTGACTTAATGACCTTGGCCCAGTTGTGATTTTGAAGATTATGGTAGCGTGTTTAATCTATGTTGCTCAATGAGGCTTATTAAAGATACCTATTTCCATAAGAAAACAATCTAAAATCATTTCATAAATCTCCAAACTAAAATTTAAGGAGGGGATGGGGAAAAATTCCAAAATCAGAATAAATAAAATTAAAAATAAACTGGGAGAATATTTACAATACACATTGCAAATGCCTAAGTTATGAATCTCTTTCACAATTCACTAACAGTGAACATGCCAATTGAAAAATGCATAAAAGTCAAGCATAGAAAATGTAAAGAAATGTACATAGTTTATGCATGAAAAGAATCAGCTTCACTTATAATGAATAAAATGCTAATTAAATAAGCTTCCATTTTCATTTACATATTTGGCAACTCATAAAAATAATAAAATTCACCACTGGCAATAGTATTGGAAAGCAAGCCTCTGTTGTAAATAGTGTAGCTTGAAATGTCTCTCAAAGCCAATCTAATACAATATGCTATAAGTTTTTTTTTTTAATATGTCTGGTTTTGACCCATATTCTACTCTCAGAAATACAACCTGAGGAAATATTGCATACTTAATATATAACAATATTCAATAAATGTCTTAATAATTATAAAAATAAACAAGTGCTTAAGGAAGCTGATGAAGTGAACTTTGATATAGCCTTTTAAAGTCATGTTTAAAATTTATTAACCTATAAAATTGAAAAAATGTTAATAAGTTTCTATATAAAATGTTAGTTTTCATTTTTGTATTCTACATCTACATTTCCACTAATTTTGCTGCACAATTCCAAGATAAGAACAATTTAATAGCAGTAGATTTCTCCTGGTTTTGATTCAAAATTCTGCTGTAAAAATCAATAGCTCTATGCCTACAACTCAAAATACATGCCTGACAGTAGAAGTTTTGACAGTGCAGCTGTACTCATTTTACTAGAGTTTAAAGAACATATGGGTAAGAATATTTTTCAGCTGTTTCAATTATTACTTATCAACGTCAAACAAATGTCCACGCTAATTATATGAGACAGACTATGGAGGAAGCCCTGGTGTGATCTATTCAAAAAGAGGGAACAGCCAGACTTGGCAACATGTAAAAAGAGATCCACCTCATATAAAAAACAGACCTTAGCCAGATCACAG